CGGAGAGATAGGAGTGGGGTAACCGATGCAGTGCTGCGATGTGTTGGGGGCAGTATCTGACTCCAGCCTCATTAAGTGACAATTTCTTGTCACTTGGTAGGGCTTGGGTGTTTCTAACCAGACGGTTAGGTGGAAGAAGGATGGTTGGAGAATCGAGTGGAAAGGAACCATATATCATGCAAATATGCAAGTCAACAAAAATCAAACATACCATGCCAAACATGCAAGTCAACTTATATCAAACATATTATGCAAACATGCAAGTCAACAAAAATCAAACATACCATGCCAAACATGCAAGTCAACATAAATCAAACATATCGTGCAAACATGCAAGTCAACATAAATCAAACATACCATGCAAACATGCAAGTCAACAAAATCCAAGGATCATGCTCAGTATCCAACAAATCAAAGGACATTTAATTTATTGAAAAATTAATTCAAAAATATAAATAGACATTATTAAAAAAAGCATTAATTGCTTAAACAAATATTTATTGCACCGAATTTATCGTGCATTTTTTTATATACATAAAATTAAAAACATTATAATTTGACTTGCATTTAGATAGATCGAATAACATTATGCAATCACCATAGGGTTTAACTAGAAAACAATGTAATTGTAATTATAACATATAGTAAAAAAGTATTTTAGTGAAAATGTGTTAAGTTGTATGCCTGGTCAGCGAGATAACAGTATACCACTGAAAGAATTAACTGTTTTGAGCGCCATAAAGTAGAGCTTGTTTAGTTACGAGTTATATGATATGAAAATTTGATTAATGAATGTATTTAGGTTTGAAAATCTGCATTCGGGCTTTTGGACGTTCAGAATTTTGGTATTTTGGAATTTTGGGCGTAGAGATTTCGGGGTAGATCTGCTATTTTTATAATAAATAATATAGTAATTTGGTCTTAAATTAACTGAGATGTTTGAATACAATATATTCTAGGTTTCGTTATTAAAATGGCATGGGAACTCGAGAAAGCCCTTGCTTTACAGATTTGTTAATTTTCCCGTCCTTCAAAATGGCGTGGGGCGCTGGTAGAAACGTTGGACAATGATGCAATCTTGAATTTGTTATTACAGCGAGGTGAACTTATATCGTTACTAATTTTACTTTAGATTCTAAAAAATTTCCATGGTCACTGGATGTAGTGAACTCACTATGCAACGAATACTAATTGTGTTCTAAGGGATTAGGGAAACACACGGCGGCTTTTATGGATGAATGCAGGTGGTGGACGTCTACCGGATACCTTTATGTCGAGCGAAAATCGATCTTCCAACCCTCCGATCCAAAATTCCATATATATAAACGATAACGAGAAGCATTTCTCTTAAAGTTTTTTGTTATGGCGTACGTATGATAATAATGAAGAAATTCAGTAAGAACTTGCCAACATAGTTTTAAATCATGCTTAAAAATGTGTCGACGTTCATTCTTATATCGTATACATTTAAAACATGATTTTTGAAACAATTCAAGTTCTAAAATGTATTACAGTCGGACCCCGCTCAAAATCTGGCCCAAATATATTTAACTTCCATAAATACAATTTTTCTTATTGTTCACTAAATGCACGGTATCAAAAGGTTGGTCCGAGCAAGTTGTATTTAGGGAGGTCTGACCGTATTTGGCTGGTTAAACTAATTTTTTTATTAATTACATGCGTGGCAAATAATCTTCAAGTTTACTAACGACATTAATACAATATCATTGAGATGATCTCCTGACGAAGCATCTTTAAATCTCTAACAATTTGATTAACATGACTATTTACCTCTTCAACCTACTCATTAGAATTGTCTTCTTGAATGATACCGTCATTACCATTATTAAATTGTAAGTATTCCGAACGATTAACGCGCGTTACATATTTTCACATGCATTGGGATAGGTTAAAATACATAAAATTTCCACTTAATTTAGTTACAGTCTAACTTTATTTCTCTATAGTTTTATTCTGCTGTCCGTCTACCATATATAATAAAGTTTCTAATTAATGATTATTAATTAAGGATTCTAAAAAAAACTAAAAATTGTTCAAATGCACCTGGATCCGACAAAGAATCGTCTTTCGTAATATAAAATATCTTGAACTTATAAATAATAACACACAAATTTTAAATAGCCTAAAATTTCTACTTTCACACCCGTTCCGAGATAAACTATAAAATCGGTAACACCCCACGTGAACCCGTGTATTAACCGCATCAACTGGTACGTGGAGAAAACATTTCGTGATGCCGCCAAGTGTTCTAGTTTGATGTAGTTTTGGGTGATGCCATTATATAATTATTTTGTTATTTTGTGGGAATAATTCAGTTTTCGTTGTTATTAGTTTTAGAAAATATGGTGAAGGTGAAAGACATAAGGTTTCATCGCGTAACAAAAATAGCATAAAGTTACACAAACTTTCACTTTTTAATTTGTTTAATTTTAAAGACTCATTTATTGCTCTAAAGTTTTGGCATTGTTGTTGGAGGGGGTTGTTTATATGGATTCGCGAGATTTTTGTCTGTACGTGGGGTGGGGAAGTAGTATTAGACGATTAACATTGGTTATTGCCAACTGCCTGTGTCGATATTGTTTGGGTCGTAGGATTATTTCGAATAATTTGGGTTGCGGGGATCAAGCACCAATAAAATTAATTTTGATAAATAAAATGTGCTTGTTAATCATAAACAAATATTCTGGAAGAATAGTATCGGTATAACTTGACCATAATTTTCCATTTTTTTACTCGGAAAGCAAGAGTTTATTGTTGTCTTTTAAAAAGTTAGAATTCTGCAAGTGTAATGTGGAAATTATGATTCGTCACCCTCGGAAATTTTAACATGCTTAAATTTCGTTCTATCGCTATGTTATACTACCGTAAAAAAATAATTTTATTTTAGTTTTTTAGTAAAGTAATGCTTTATTTATTATTAAATTAAAGTATAATAGAATAATTAAAATAGTATAAAAAGTTAATTTAGATTATTCTTTACTTAATATAAAAAAATTATAAAAGATCGGTTAAAATTTGAATGATTTTTATTAGAAGCAATTATTGATTTTTATATTGGTGTACCAATCTTTTAATCAGGGGATTGGGATTAATAGTAATATACATGTATTTGCTAGGTTTCTTAATTAAGGTCAAGAATTACTATCCACATCTATATACTTTATATCAATATATACTGTATTAAGTTAAGAAACTTATTACATTACATATATATCAAACTAACATATATATATATAACTGTTATTAAAAAAACTAGAGTCGGTACTTTTCTAACTTTTATTAGCATTTATTCCAAATATGCATGTATTTTATAAATTAAAAATAAACTTAATACATATTGTGGAACGCTTATTTATCAGATTCTTGAATTTTAGCTTTATCGGTAACATGAGTTTATTTCATAATCAATTGTTTGTTATCGATTTAGAAAAATCTTGTTTGTTTCTCAAACTTCTAAAAAAAGGAAAGAAGGATTCAGGGATAAGTACGCGTCCTTTGAAAATACGCGTCTGATTTAAATTTGCTAGTTTATTTGTAATAAATATAAACCAACGTATATAATAAAAAATCATTTGTAAAAAGCAACTAATACAGATAAGTCAAAACAGATTCTTCAGATCAATAATAGCAAGAGTTTTCTTTGTATGTAAAAGGATAAAATGATAAAATTTACACTGTTATCATAGAATACAACACCAATCGTGTTTAGTCCTACTTGTTCACCAAAAACAGGTGGAGCCCGAGAGAAAAACTTTATTTTTGTTCTTGGATTTTAAATTCTATGATAGATTGATAGACTACGGTAATTGAGTGCCGACATACATGTGAGAATGGTTCGATTCCTTTATCACGTAGTAAAAGAATGTTTACTATTTTCGTTATGTATTGTATTCGTTTACGTGCATTTTTTATAAGTAAACCTTGAGTTAAATCAATTATAAGCGCACAACTAAAAATAATAAATTTTCATCTTCGATAGCATGGAGATGAGATGAAGATGCAAAAAAAGTAAACAAAGAAACTTCTGCGTAATCTATTATTTCTTTGATCATGCATATTTCGTTCATATAGTAAATGCGTTCTATCATTAAATTATTAAATTAGAAAAGTCATTGTGGCTTTCTTTGTTTGCTTACATTCGTCTATAAAAAATGCATAAAAACGATTCACAAATACGTATTGTTAAAACTTCCATTTATGCAATCACCAAACGAATATGCGCACAATAAATAAATTATAGCTTGCTGAATAATAAAACTAATAGTATAATTAATAATTTTTTACCATTTCCCGCTTAAAAACTTTCTTATATTTTTCCTGACGTCAGTATGTCGCTTTGCCAACGCCAAAACCGGAAAACAAGCTTTATTAATCAAATCAGTTTATATTTGCACGTCCTTTACTTATGTACTTATTATGCTGTTAGCAATACACCACATATTACAGAAACTCAAAATAAATATTGATATGATATAACTTATTTAAAAACATAATGCTGCAAATTTATTAATATATGTATATGCACATTGAAGCTAATTTGCATTCACTAGTGTGTTGTAAACTGGTGCGGGTTATTCCCTTTTAACCCAAAAATGATAACTACATATATTTGCTAAATTATTAGCATACAATATATACAATTAATTTATCATAAGAATTTATCTGATGAAAGCTTCAATCAAATGAACGATAAATCACTTTTAGTATTTTAGATAACATTAGCATTAACTTCTTATTTACTTTTTATTCAATAAAATTTTATTTTATTAGCATGTATAAACTAAATTGAAAATATTTTTACGCTTGAGTTTATTGCATTTATTACAGAAATCTAATGTGATCACTAAAGCTTTTAATTTTCCAAAATATCCATGTAAGAAGTACATTGCATGCGCACCGTATGTGTTAGTATTATTACAAATTTATTCATATACATATATGCACGTACATGTAGATTGAATTTCATATTTTATAAATGCATGCATTATTATCCATCAAAATCGGGAAAACGGGTACGGTACGATAACCAGAATCCAGAGAGCACGGATTCCCAAAGCACGGAATCCACGAATGCAAGTGCACAAAACTCCGACATTAAATCTCAATACAGTCGTGCACCAGAAGTGCATCCCCCTTGGGAACCATGGTAAAAAAATTTATAGAGCTCTTATAAGCCGGGACGTGCACTATGGGGTGCGACTATATTTAGAAATTTATGAATAATGTATATTATTGATTTAATAATTCGATTGTTCTGCTTAGTTAAATAATATATTTTCAAGATTTTATGCGCACAATTTAAATGAAAAAAGGATTTCGTGCATTCGGAATTCCGTACATTCGGTTCCGTTCCTTCGGGATTTTAGGTTTCGGAATGTTGAACGACACCCAGAATCAATATAGAATCAATTAGGCGCATATACGTAATTTTTGATTATGCTATTGCAAAGTCAAGAAAAATAATAGATATAAAAATAATTAATAATTAATTTCTATAAAATATTTCAATCGTCTACATTTCACAATAAACTTAATAAACGTTATAGATGCCGTCCAAAAACTGGTAACGAATGATCTCGAGATACAAATTCCCCGAAATCACAATATCCCACATGAAATTCAGATATTCGATGGTTCAGAAACCCGAAATATACGCATCAAGAATTAAAAATAGAGCTAAGGATGGATTCAGTATTATTGGGTAAAGAGTTAATACAATTATTTCATTTCTGTTTCCTGGCTTGGAATAAACCTAGATCCTGGACCCTTAACCTTTGTAACTTTTGTAATATTACAAAAGTCGGGATTTTAACATTTAGGATTTGGGTTGTTTTAAGATTTTCTAAGTTCGAATTTCAACATGTCGCATTTTTAATATTAGGTTATCCCCCCCCCAAAGTTTCGAGAATATCTACTTTTATTATTACAATTTTCACATGAATTGAATGGCTGATTTATACGCACATGTATTAAACGTTAACAATGAAACAATAATTAGATGTTAAATAGGAATATACATGTAAATCGGGCGATAACTTGTGTATAAACGAAACTAAATTAAGCTAGCATTTATCATTGACATGTGTGATCGGTCGGGTATTGTATCACAAACCCACAAATCTGGGATTATCCCGAAGCTAATTGGATATTAAATAAAAATTTTCTTTCGATCACTTCGTGATTAATTACCTAACTTTGATATCGTATTTTTTCATTCTTCCATTCGTACATTCGACTATAGTTGAACCCTCAAAAATGCATAAATACTCTTGGAACAGGTACTATGGTATGTATTTAGAGCGTATGCAAATAAAGATTATATAACATACATATAAAGTCATAGCAAAGAATCAAAGGTATAATAATGCATTTCAAGGCGCTATGCATTAAAGAATATGCATTTAAGGAGTGTTATTTTTCGAAATGTTTACAAGTCTTTATCTTAACGTTCTTGCTTAAACTATTCCCCTTATTTACCCAATCGAGCCATTCATTTATCAATTTTTTCATAAAGATTCTTTTTACGCTCTCACAATCTTTTCGTATTTACTTTTTTTACAGATAAATATATTTTCATAACATATTGCATAAAAAAAATAGCAAGATTTTGGCAAGCATCTATGGTAACTTAGAGAGTACGACATTCTCTGTTTACTTCTTTCGAATCTTCTTTTTTTGTTGATATTGCGATAAAGGTGCGGCGGACGATAATTCGCTTTTTAATTTAATTTGTAATTGATCTATCCATAACATTATTGGTAAAAGACTAAATATAACGATAACGATAACAACAATTAAATAATAGATATTCTTTTTAAGCATAGCAAAGGTACATTCGCGTATATGTGCTGTGCTGTAAGCCATGTAATTATCATAGTATTCAAAGAACAAACGAGGTTACCTTTCTCGGTTTGGTAAACAAGCGGTTCTAACAGAAATTAACATTGTATTCTACGAGGTACGAGGAATGCGTTAAGACAATATAAAAAAAATCTTTTGTTGTTATCAAGAAGCCTCTTTTACCAGAATACAATAACCTTTATTAAAAATCAAATCCTTTATCTACAAAAATAGTCTAACAAGTAAATATTAAACAGGTCCTTAATAAGCACAATTAAAGCGCATATATTGTAGAGAATCGAAAATTTAATATGCTTTATTTCAATATGACAGCCAATAATTCAAGATATATAGTGGATAATTGTTATTACTAGAAGAACGATTTTGAGGTTAAATTGGATGTCAAGTTTTACAGTGAAGATGCGTTCTACGGAATGGTACAACTTAAGGATAAACATCTGGATATTTGAACTATATGTATTCCAAAATCGTCTATGCACATGTATATTGTATAAAACCCGGTGAGCCGGTGTTTGCTGGAGAATCAGACTATCACCGAGAAATTGCGCAATAAATTTTAGGATGTTTCCAAAAGTATTATTGTCTATAATGAGTCTCTTATTTTATTACTATATATATTTTAATATAACTTTTCAATTGGAATTATGTAAAATTTTTATGCTATACCGATACACCGTGATTTGATAAGCATTTTCTATGGTCACAGAAATTTTCTTCATAACTGTGACAGATTAAACTGAAATTAGATTGAAAGAGGGAATCGCAATAATTATTATAATATAAAGGGAATATGACGAAGATGGTTATTAGAATATAAAGGGAATATGACGAAGATGGGTATTATGAAGAAATCAATGTCATATTATACCTTTTAAGAATTATAAATTTATCATATTTCCTATTAAATTAATTTGTATTACATGTATAAGCTTTTACATTATCGTTATAAAGATCATAAGAAAATTGTGATAATTTTGGTCATATGATCTACAAGATCTGCAAAAATTTCATTTTAATCTGCGACATTAAATAATGTTCATGTGCGCAATAACAGCGTTTAGATGAGTGTTGCAGCATTATACATGTACAGCTTGACACAAAAAATCCCGGCTACATCCCGAAAAACCAAAATCACGAAAGCATGAAATCCGTTTCTCATTTAATTTTTCTATGGATATCTTGACTTGTAAATAATATGACAAGATTCATAAATTTATAAAAGTTGGGATTTCGTGCTTACGGTATCTGTACTTTCGGAAATTCATTTTTCGGGTTTCGACTGTCAGGAATTTGCTTTTCGAACGTGCAACCCCGAAATCCCGACATTCAAAACCCCAAACATACACGAATTCTGCATTTTAGAAATTTTACTTTGATATTGATATCAAATTTTATATTTTATCGTAACTATATCAAAACCTTATCGATATATTTTACTTTATGAAAATTTATTAACCAAGAAACTCAAAATTTTTTTACCATATTATCTTTTTTAGCAAGCTACAATAAGAAAGTTTTATTTTTGATATATTAAAGGCAAAACTTATTTAGTACGATGAATTTCTAAAAATCGTTCTTTTAAATATTACAATAAACCAAAACTTATTGAACAAACTTGGATGTAAAATACAGTAAATTCTAGTCTGTTTTTCCTGCATGATATTTTTGCCCGTATTTTAATAAATTATTAAAAATCATGAAAATTTGTTGATACATTCTTTTTAAAATGTTAGTAAATATATCTCTATTTCAACTTTTTTATATGTGATCACACGCATAAAGTGTACTTGAACACATAATTTCTGATTTTCTTACAATTATCAGATTTGGACTTAAATTAATCTCATGCGCGCAAAAATACAATATGCAAGCATTGTTGTTTGACGAAACCATGAAGATGTACATTAGATAACACACGCAGTCATTCTGAAAAAACTCATATCTTGTGGTGTTGATTTTATTGTATAAAAAAGACTTAAAAAAACAGCTTGTCATAAACTTTAATTTCATTGAAAGAAACATAAGGATATTAGTGAGAAAGAAACTTAAAGGTTGTCACAAGTTTAATTGAATGATAGCGTTTTTATCTAATCGAGTGTTAGCGATTGGAATTAATGCGATTTATGGTTTATATAATGCAAAGCATATGAAATATATATAAATTTAAATCTTAAAGGAACATAAAGTAAAATTTAAAGCATAAAATAAAATATAGAATTTGAAAGATTAATTTATATATATATATATAATGTATATAAAGGTGGAGAATATATTACCAATGCTAATTGAATTGAATTGGAAATTAATAAAATATGAACGGATCATTTCATGATTGCAACTGTCTAAAACTGATTGAAATCAATGAAGTTAACTTCTTCCAACGTGACAAGAAGTTCAGTATGTTCAATTCCTGTTATCGTTTCTTTTACCAAATTTTCAGGTATATATTCGAATGTTTCATCAATGGATCGAATCACAAATTGTTTTCCCATTGGTGGTGTTGCTTTATTAGTGGCGAAGACAATTAACGATGCAAACGTTGTGTTCTCACCGATAGCAACTTTTCGCTTGTATATTTTTATCTTTGATCTTATCGTCACCGACCTTAAGATTGCTTCTAAACAAATGGAGGTACATGTATAAGTGTAAGTACATCTATATGAATTAACCAATAATGATGAATTATTTTCACCTGATGTCGAGTCATTAAAAGCGTGGGTTTGCTGTGAAACTATACATGGATTCAGTGGATCTAAAGTTTGATGTTATAATTGTTATTATTACATGTATTAGCTTTTAAATAAAATAAGCTATAATATTCAATCGAATTAATTACGTTTTTCACGTAAGCTTTGTTTTCTATATATCACCAATTGAACTTGATTTTCTCGTTCATTAATATTATCAATAAATGCTTTCCAGAAATGACAGAATGCTGATCCATCGTTTAATCCGAAATGGTGTGAACTATTCCAATTACCAATCCGATAATGGAGGAGAGAAGTATCAACGGGATCCCATTGAGAAGGCAAGTTTAATGATTCAATATTCGTATAGAGTTGACGTAAATTCTGTAATGGATCGGTAGAGTTTAAATTGCTAAGCGGCACATCTACTTGTTGACTCATAATTACGTGTGGAATGGATGCGACGTCGAAACAAACTAACGTAATCTTTTTTGATTGATCTAAATTTTTTAGTTGAAAATATCATTATATAATTAATTCATAGGACAAATAGGAGATATGGTTAATTAAATGCCTACCCAAAAAATAATTTATGACCCCTGCAGCAGATGTCGCACTAGTCGGAGCGGTTGTACTAGGGTTGATACCATTCACATATTCAATAGAATTAATAGGACTAAATGTGGTTTGTGGTTGTGAAATTAAATGAAGGTTATGATAAATCATATATTTTTTTCGCCGAGTTTCCTCTTCATAGGCTTTTAGTTCGTCCAAAGCTTTCTTAATTATTGGGCCAAATATTTGTCCTTGCCATCCAAATCCTAATGCGATATTGTAAGCTTGTATGTGTTGGAGGTATTGCTCTAATGACCCTGCTTTTATTAATGATTTTCTTTTTGAATCGAGATATTCTTGAAGTATTTCTTTCGTAAGAGGAAAATAATTTTTCGTTTCACCCGGATGTAGACTTTTAATCACATTTATAAAATTAGTTACGCCGACCCTTGACGCTCTTGTATCTATGCTTGGTGAGCGTTTACCTCGTCGGTTTTCTTTGTTCTCATCGTTGTTATTATTATCGATTGGACCAGGAGATGAACCTGGAAGTATATTGTCTGTGGTTTCAACGTTAGACAATTGTTGTTGATGTTGGCGAAGTGGAGGCATTTGTCGTAATAAAAAAGATGGAATTATGAAGTAATTCGTTTAATCAATCTTCTGATGTAATAACGCCCACGAAAAATTAAAGAGAAGATTGACTTATATAAAAGTTTATGAGATTGTTTCTAAAATGGGAAACAAAAAGACAAAGGTATAATAACACAAAATCAATTCATTTATTTTATTTATTATATATATCATCAGACAAAATTTACAGGTTTTTCTTTATCTCCTCACAAATTCACACGGATATCTTTATATTATCGTGTTTCTTTATATTTAAAAGTAAATATATTATAGTTAGTGAGCTCTTCCTAAAAGATTAAAATAATCGATATATTAATAACTATGCCAAGCGTAGCTTGTTTAAACAGTATCGAGTCCTTTCCGTCTATTTGATACTGTTGAGTATTTATATTTAGCATTTTAGGGGTTTAGGAATAATAAATAAACTTAGACTTGAAAAATCTAATATTTTTTATTGTATCGGCCTGTTATTGTCAATCACGTAAATGTCTTTAGGCATATCAATGAATGCAATAAAATAATAAAAAAAATCTAAATTTAGATGACAAAGAATAAATGAAGAAGAACCAAAGATGTGCAAGAAAGGTCAAATGTTAATGATCCATTCATTAGTGTTATACAGTGCTATATCGATATGTGTTACAATAAAATTTATATGGGACTTAAAAGATTCTAAATTAAGTTAGTATAACATGAACATGTACATGTATTTAATTTAGAGGATCCCTCTCGTTTGACTTAAAAAATAATATTCTATTTTATGTAAAAACTAATCTACGTGTTTTTTAATAGAAAGTTTTTATAACTAGGCTTGTTATCTTAAAAAACGTGATAAACAATGACGTTGTGATTTACAATCTGTGATGTAAAGTTTATCGATATACGTTAGAGATTTTTATCAAACGAGTATGGCTTTACGCAACTGCATCGTGTAAAGAAATCTCCTCCTTGCTATTTTCATAAACATTTGATCCAATTGCTTCGCAAATAGGATCATCAACTGGTATAAACTTGTGTTATAATATTAGATACTCCAAGTTATTAACATTAATAATAAAATATGATATTTTCAAATTGTATTATTTTCAAAGCATAACTAAAGATAAAATTTAAACAGCTAAAATAAAGACATAATCAGGGTGATTTCTTGTTTGACCCTTCTCCCCCTATCTGACTTTATACAATCATCTGAAATATAATGATCGCATGATAATATGATGTCATACCTGATTTTGATCTCCTAAAAATCAGGTGATAAATGTAAGTCTAGTTCAATACAGCATTCTTGATAGGCAATATTTCGACGACATCCAACGAGTTAAGCTTCTGAGCAAAATAATTTCATTTTTACAATTCTTTAATTTTTTCTTGAGAAATTTTTATAGACAATAACGATGCTTCGAGATGAAATACAAGCATATGAATATACAGAATCAACAATAAAAATATTGTTCAGTAGATAAATAGCATGCGCAATATTAGATATATTATATTATAATATTTATATCCTTCCATAAATAAAATCGTATAAAAAAAATGTTTTCTTTAAAAGATGAGATGGTGCTTATTCACAGCCGGTATTACTTATGTTTACCAGTAAATCATTCTATTTATGCAAGGGCTGTGTTTATTATTAAAAATGTGAAATTTTTATAAAAAATATAACTCATTAATGCATTCATGTATTTCGTAGCAATAAACATTATCAGGGTCTGATACGAAATCTCGAAGAATACAATCCCGCACATTCATAAACCCGGCAAACGAAAATCCCAAAAGAACAGCATCCTAAATGCTCGAAATCCCGAATAATCGAAGTCCCGAACGTATATCATCCCAAATGCATGGAATATCAAATTATTATGATTTCGAGATTTATTGTATTCGGTATTTCGACTGTTCGGAATGCCGTTCTTTAGGATTTCGTTCAGGATATCGTTCATTCGGGATTTCGAACTTTCTGGATGCCGTTATTTCGGGATTTCGTTTGTCGATCTTATGAACGTTCGGGATTGTATTCTTCGGGAGTTTGAATGCTTCCGTTATATCAACCTGATAAAAGGCTAATGCTTATATTGATTGCAAGCAAATAATAAAATTTTCATTTTGTTTATTTAAATTGATTTTGATTTCTAATATTGTCAATGATTAATATAATAGACCAATGTAGTAAGATTTTAAAATATACTATAGTTAATATACTTTGAAATTAAATATTTATACACGTACAAAATGTTAAAAATAAAAAAAGGCTTTAAATATTGAAAAGTTTATCATTTAAGCAATAAGGAATAGAAAAATTTATTTTAAAAAGTCGAGTCCAAAATTCATCAAATTAAAACTCATATATGGGTATTGTTACATGCAAATTATCAGTTTTTAACTAGCTTATACATTAAGTAAATGGGTTTGTAATAAATTTTATTTACAGTGAAATTTATATGAATCAATTAGAATTTTAATATAGGTTTACCATTTAGATGATAGTAAAAAATCTTAATTTTTTAAAGTAAATTTCTTTCTTATTATGAAATTTTTATTTTTAAGCTTAACATTCAAGAATTTAAAATTTTATATTTTTAAATTTTTAACATTGTTCATAATAGTAAGCTGGACAAATGTAATTCAATAGAATAATTTCTTTATTCTATTTATGTACAGTTATAGATAAGAAGATAGCTGAGAACTAAATACTACTTCCAGCAGAAATTTCATATGACAATAACGGGAGATAAATAATGTAGTCGCATTGTGAGACAATATCGAGAATTAATTTTATGATAAAAATTTTGACAACACGGAATGTGACTATAGCGGGAGTTAATGTATAGTGATACCTCTTTATAAGAACACCCTTTATATAAAAATATCATATAAAATAAGAACATGAATTTCTGGAATCTGTTGTGTTAAAAATACAGCTATATAAATACACTAAGAAAATGTATTTTTAAGTATTGTATATTATAAACTAATGATGCAATATGGGCCGAGTGCTATAAATACATAGAAAAGGAATTTGATCGAAGACATAAATTTTTTTCACAAATCTTTCTATGCTCGATCTCCTATAGATATGATCCCTATTGATACATGTTCAAAGAAACTTTTGTTTAATCAAGTGAAGAAGTATGGTATGATTGGAAATGTTTGTTTGATTTGACAAGTATTGCCATAATACCTATCGAAAAAGGGTTAACTCTTGGTTAGAATGAGCTCTAAGATAATGCATACAGAAATTGATCACCCATCTGAGCATTTTCGAAATTAAAACTAGAAAAATAATCATTAATCGGAATCTTTCCCAGGAATTTTTTATAGGAACAGAATGGTATATTATTATCCACCTGAATATGAATTAATCCCTTTCCGATAGATAGCATGTCATATCAAATAATATTTTTCAACCATATCATACATGAACCTCTTTTGCTTTATCCGAGTACGGTCTCATCTTTCTATAAGAACACATTCGGGCCAGAAAAATTCCGGTTCTTATAAGATAGGAGCTTGTTCTTATATAGCGGTAATTTTTAATATACATACTAACTCATTGGTTCTCAAAAATCTTGTTCTTATATAGAGTGTTCTCATTTGGCATAATGGTCATCAATTTATGATTTCCGATTTTATACCGTACTTTTTTTCAAAGCCTATACCCCATCCGCCCAATAGTTAAACTTTCCGATCATACGTATTAGCGTAGAACTTCATACACATGTGCTTATATTCTAATGCCTTGAGTTTCGGCTTTTTATACATGCACATATACATACCCCTTATTTGATACATCTATAACATCACCATGCATATGTTAATGTAATATCACGTAATGAAAATGAAAAGCAATATATGTTAAAATCTTTATTAAATGATTTTACCTGCTTTTATTTTTATAAGTTGCTTGATACGTACAAAAATACATTGCGCCTATTTGCCGTTCAACGCAAACTCATTTAAATAATACAGTACGAATTTTTCTTACAAATGAATGTATATTTCATAACCTTGATTCGCTAGCTTAATTCCCTTTTCAAGTAAGCTAAATACCCCCTACTAATGGCAAAATTAACGATCATTCTCGTTAGAAATGCAATATGCTAGATTTGTCTTGTTTATATAGTACAGAATGCAATAAATAACCGATGACGATAAATTTTTTTCGAATTTAAAATTCAATACATATATCTGTCATTTAGTCGCTGTTTGCGCAAAATTAAAATTACATGTATATGATTTTAAACAATTCTTTAAAGAAGATTCAACAAGAGAGAAGATAATAAATATCCTTTCCTTCACACAAGTCAGCCATTTCAGTCAATTTTAACTTTATATTGATCTGTTCGTAAATAGTTGTTATTAAAATCTAAGTTCATTGTGTCAATGAGATCCTGGAATTTATATACTAGAAAGAACACTTCACTTTCATTATATATTTTCAAAAAAAAATGAAGTAAATAGAGAGCTTTGTATTAGATCTATTATTACTTATTTATAAATCCGAATATATAAATATAATAGTAAACTATGTATGTAAGATAAATTAAGCTTATATTGACTGACTGGTCCCAAACTGATAAGGGTGATTAAGGAAGGCTCGTTTTATTGCGGAGTAGATTTTTATTTTAAATTGCTGTATTTATTATACTTTAAATCAAGCCAATATCAGAAACAATATTAATATTAACCGATGCAATGTGCATGAGAAATGCAAAGATAGAAAATAAACCACATAGAAACTTCTTATCTATTTGTTTTTTAAAAGATAACAAGTGGCAAAATAATTAGGGCTATGGCTGTTTTTGCATATATAAATCATATATAAATGAAAGAGGAGCAAACAAAGCCGTTCACTTAAAAATAGTGTTCATACGCACACGATATAAGAAAAACTCATAATTTTCTATAATAAAATTGCATAAGTTGTTCATTAATAAGAAAAACATAAATTCATATTAAATTACACCAATCCATTTAATATGAGTAATTACGATTATTTAACGAAAGCTGAAAGGCAACTTTTAAATAATTGTCCTTATAAACTTACTCTCACAATTGAAGACTTAACTAATCCTTTTACAAAAACACGCGGGAATTTCGATAGGCAACCAAGGCCACAGAATAGCTGGATTATCTTTCGAAAAGATTTTGAAGCAAACTTACGTCAACTTAGACCGAATGTCAAACAAAATATTAAAGATACAGCGAAGGAATCTAGTTTAAAATGGAAAGAACAATCAAGTGAGGTTAAAGAATTTTTCAAAATATTGGCAAAAATAGCTTATAATAGACATAAGCACACATATCCAAATTACAAATATCGTCCGAGAAAACAACAAGATGAAAACTGTAAAACATTTAGTTTTCGGATACAGAAAAAATACACATTTACGACTTCTGCCAAACATAATTCAATTAATATCAGTTCGGTTCGAGGGATAGCAGAAACTAACACGTCCCCGTCCCCCTCGACAAATTATATGACCAATTTCACATCTCATTATAATCCTCATGCATTTCATAATGATGTAAAAATTTCATCTACATGTACACCGATCGTTAATTTTAGCGCAAATTTTCTTGATCATCGATTTTTATATGATAATAATCCCAATTTTTTTATTTTTAATTCTGCATCTATCGATGCCGCAAATACATCTATCATCCCAACAGCCTTAATATCTTTACCCACATCACAAGCTCAAATATCTATCCCCGAATATCTTAATTATGACTCCACATATATTGCTGGAAATTTGTCGGATATTACTTTTGAAGATGTTTAATGTGCATATAGCAACTCTCTATATATTTTATTTAATAATTTATGGCATTATTAGAAAGATATAATTTTAAAATATTTGAAATTATTCAAATTGATCCAAACGTTATAATACATGAAACATATAGATTTTCACTAAACTAATATAGTTTGTTATATTTATTCTGTTCTTTTATTATATTTTATTCTGTTCTGTTTATTCGTTATTCGTTAGTCGATTACATTCGTTGTTTCTTTTCAATTTCTCGTCCATTATTTTTCCATTTCTTATTAGAAGTGACATCAATTAATAACTTTAATATTATGTTTTTGTATCACATAAAGAATTGGATTATTTTACAACTCGCGTGAAATTTACTTGTGTATAAATAAGCCAACGACCAACTCAAATATAATTTACGTATTTAAAAAGTATAAGTTAATAGATTTATGTATATTTTCACGTGTAGAAATTGCATTGTCTAATTTCTTTATTTGTGCAATGCTGTATCACACAGTCCTTATCTCCAACGATTGTTAGATGATATTTCATCGCCCTGCTTACAATTGTTCTTGCAGTCCCACAATGCATAATGTGTGTCAAAAAACGCCGAACCCATATATAATTCTTGTAAGAACCTATAATTACAAATTCGAAAAAAAGTTTACCGTATTTTAAGAATTGCTTTTTTCATTATTCTTAAGTTATATATTTTCATTTAGCCTAAACATCGATGTCATTCATTTAAATTTCTTTGTAATAACTTAAATGTATAAATATAGTTACTTGATTTCCCTTATAGTGAGTTTTGAATAAACTAATGGTAGAACATGGAAAGCATGAGTATGAATTCATTGTATCAATTCTAAATCAATATAATAAGGGGATTTCTCCGAATTTCAAGAATGCATTTTATATTTTGCATATAATTCAAAATTGTAAACAAGGATCTTTCTGTTAATTAACAAAGAGTAAAAAATATTTACGGCATACGCTATCGATTAAAAGACAAGAATTATATTAGCTTAAATGAAACTATTTAAGCTTCAGATTCTAATATAATTATTGTGTTAAATTATAAATTATTGATTTTAAGCAATTATTTATGTGTATATTATTAGGGCATCAACTAGCTTGAGAAAATAGATTTTGAGAATATTCATAATTCTTTTACTAATAAGCAAGCAAAAAGTGGCAAAGCAATATCTTTAAAAATGACAATTATCTAGGGAATGATTAATTGATTGGTTTTACTGATAATATGCATTTACATGTATAAAACAATAAGTAAAACAAAATATGCATAGCTGTATTCTTTGTTTACTTTTTTCGTATCTATTTTATTTGATAAAAGTTGGTTTCACTTATACATATAGTGAAAATTTTACAATTACTTTTATACAGCAGGCGTAGAATCATCTCGAACGGTTTGCTGCTTAGTTACCCCACATTCAAGTGTAAAAATTAAGTTCGGGTTAAATCTGTTTCAGTAGACAAGAGGGATTAAACACGTTTGGCGTTGTATTTTATGAAGTGATACAGATGAATTAACATTAAGCAAAAATCTTACTTTATAACGTTTTAAAGAACATCGCCGTTTATTCTGTCATTTGCTTTTTCTTGTATTTCTATAATGCATAGCAAACTCTTAATTAGACAAGTTAAACTTTTTAAACGAGTTATTTTTGATAAAGTTAGATTTCTTTTTTAGAAATAGTGTATACAATGGTTTTTACATGGTACATGGTCCTATAAAAATTTCATGTAATACATAAATTGAACGTGCTTCCAAGCTCTATTTACGTTTATGTGTCTGTAAAACACACGTAAAAAGGTGCTCTATTACAAATATATCCGAGTTTTCTTAAACAGTATATTCCGCAGGCACATTTTTTAGGGGGTCGGAATGCGAAATAAAAAGAACAGATTTCGATAAAGCTGTTAAAACAAAGCCATTTATTACTGCTGCATTATCTTAATATTGATGCATATTTATATCGATATAAATGTTTAATTTTTAATTATAAATGCTTCCTATGCATTTTTATACAGCATGCGGACCGATTATGAATACATGTGCTGCCCTCCGTTCATGTGTTCTAGATGTTCATGCATGCAAAATTATCGAAATACATGTATATTCTATGGAAATTAAGGTAACAGGAAAAGGTTTTTTGAACGTAAATGAATTCGTGGAGAAATAAGCTGAATTTTCCGATCTTAACTTGCATAATCAATGTTTTTTCTATATGACCCCGTAATACATGTACATGTGTTCAATGGCTATTTTTCTACATGCATAATGCAATAATGAGCCACAGAGCATGCATAATAATAAGTTAAACAAAGATTTTTTAAAATGAAATTCAATATTGGGCAATATTTTATTGTGCACATTAAGGTTTTACATGTACATATACATGTCTTTTATGACATAAAAAGCAAAATTAGCCTAGGATAATAATAAATCTACCAGATACACGTGCTATTGTACCGTTGATTTTTGTTGACTTATATATGTCTTGTTTCTCCTTATTATTTTCAGGGGAATGACAGATCTCTAAGTTGGTGGGTGAGATCACACGTTCACTAATCCTCGTACGGCAAATATATCATAAAAGATAATAAAAATCACCTGACTTCTCATCTGATTAATATCTATATCTGAGGTGAGTTAACTGTCTATACTATTCAATATCTGTCACTCCCCTTAAAAAAAATTATTTACGTGCTTCATTTGCTTAGCTTTAAACTTAAATAATCTCATAAAAATATGGGTTTTCAATATCTAAGATATGTACATACGTCAAAATATATATTGAGTAATATACCATATTTTAAAGCTTAGAATAATGATAATATGCATAAACTAAAGCGTTAAAAGACCAAAGAAATTCTCGACAATATAATGTAAGGGCGTGTACATTGGCTTTGCTTATAGTTATAAAAACAGAGCAAGCTTTTTAAAACAATTAATTGGCTTGGAAAAGCATTTTAATTCTCTAATTGAATAGTTTAAATGTTATTATATTGTCATTAAGCATATTTTTTGACTAATTCTCTTTATATAGCATATGATTATCAGAGCTTAATTCCACATTTATAGAATTTCAAAGCTACAAAAAATACTGAGTTCCATGTAATATTATTTTTTAGGATTCAGATAAATTACCGGAAATGGAGATTTCATTTTTCGTCAAGGTATATCAAAAATATTTTAACGATAAATCATTGAACATATATGTATGTTTAATAAAAAATTCCGATTATCATAAACTTTAGCTATCTTTATCTCTAGCAATAAATATGAAAACCTGTAAACTATGTCATTTTTATAATGATAGGTTGCATTTATAAAGCAATTTTCTTATTTTGCACAAAAAATGAGCATGAATTTTTTTCCATGTAAAGATTATGCTAGTAATACTGTTCTACGTGTACGCTTCCGCAAAAATCAAGTATTTCATCAAGATTAACATTAGCCCTAACTAATGATACAGGATGTGCGCAAGCACATATCTGTTGAGCTGATCTGTTCAAGCAGCGTAAGTCGATCCGTAAACTGGGTTTAGACTTTGATACGGTGACTCATGGAAGGAATGGAACACGGGAAAAAAATTGGCGAGATACGAATATCTCGCCATTGAAGAATTGTACGGAGTCAAAGGTAGGTGC